ATATATAAAGAATTAAGAAGTAATCAAGAGAAATAATTAAGTTTGATAGAAGTAGTTAATTACTAAATTAAGAGTAATTAATTAGTATTTTTTTATAATAAATATATATTTTTATATTTTTTTCTTACTCTATTGAGAAAGTAATTTTATTAGAAGTAAAATTTATTTAAATTATTTTATTAAGAAAATAATTAATCATCTTAAATTTTTTAAAATTAAAAAGTAAATATTTGTTATGAATATAGTTATTATTACTATTTTAAATTATTTGCATATGCACAAGCTTAAAATGATAATAATATAAATAAAATAAGAGAATTTAATATAATATAAGTAAAAGATATTTTATAAAAATAAAATATAATTTACTTAAATATTATTAATAAAATATTTTTATTATATCTTTATTATTATTATTATTATTATTATTATTATAATATCTATTTTAATTTTTTTATAATTTATTTTTATTTTTTTATAAATATATTTTTTTTATTAAAATTTTATAATTTTTAAATATTTAATAGATAATATTATTTATTTTATTATATTTTTTATTTTTAGTTTAATAAAAATAGATATTATTTTTTTAATTTAAATTTTTATATTAAGTTATTATAATTAATAATTTATTAAAAATATTAAATTTTTAAATTTATATTATAAAAATATATTAATTTATTTTTAATATTAATTAATATAATATAATATAATATAATATTAATATTAATATTATTACTAATTTATTTTTTATCTTTATTCTATAATCTTAATTATATTACTTTATTTTATCTTTTTTATTTTGATAATTTTTTTAATTTTGCTTTCTTATTTTTTATTATTTATTTTTAATTATTAATTAATATAATTATTTTATAATTAATTATTTATAATTTTTATTATTTTAATTTATTTTATCAAATATAATATTAATTACTTAATTATTAATTTTATTATATTTTTAATTATTATAAATAAAATATAAATTAATATAATTATAAAAGAAATTTCTATAATTAATAATTAATTAAATAATTAAAAATAATTAAAAGATAATATTCAAAAAATAAAATAATCTTTAAAAATTTAATTAATATTTCTAAATATAAATTTATCTTTTAATTCATCTTATATTTGATTTTAACTTATTTAACTAGTAAAAATTATCTTTTTATATTATTATTATTTGTATTTTATAATTATAATTATTTAATTAATAAAAGTATTATGATTTTGCTTATTATAAACTTATTATATACTTGATTGATACTAATTAAAAATAATAAAAGATCAAAATATTAAAATTATACTTATTACTTTATTAATAAATTCACAAATTCTATCATTATCTTTTTTTTATTTATCTTACTAAAAGTATTTTTACTTGCAAATATTATCTAGTTCAATTTTATCAATTAAATATAATTATTAATATTATTCTTATTATATCTTTAACAAAATAAATATCATATTTGATTTATTATTTAACTATTTAATTAAGAATAATAATAATATAATTATTATTATTATTAAAAAATTAATCTAATTATTAACATTATAATTTTTTATATCTAAAACTGGAAAAAGATATGATTATAAAGAAGATATAATTATATAAAAGATAATTATATGAAAGAAAGATATATTAATTTATTAATTCTCAAAATTCTATTCTTATAAAAAGTTTGTTCTTATATAAAGTATTTTATAAAGAGATATGATTATAACAATATATATTAATATACATATATTAATATAAAAATTAATTTCTATTTTTATTACATATTACATATATCAAAGTTATATCAAAATGATTAAACATCAATATTTATATAAAAAACCATTTCTAAGTTCTTTTTTCTGAGTACTCATCTGTTTTTTATAATTTAAAAAAATATATTGAAATTTGAAGATATAAAATCTAATAATTCGAAAAATGATCGGATTGGCATTAGACGCCACGTGATTGATTTTCACCTGCAATTAAACAATGTATAAATCCTTTAGGAAGAGTTTGGCGTGCAAGCACATGAAAACGACGATAAACACCGCAAATCAATTATCAAAAGGCTGAGCGAAAATGCCAGCAACAAACAACCTTTTTATACTAAACTGACTTTTTATCTTTCGTCTTTCCAAGATAGCTCGTTAATCTTAACTAAATATATATATATATAATATATATAGTGTCAATTCAACAAAATGTTCATAATTACCATGGTCGTTATGTTTTTCTTTAGTCTTTGTCACAAGACTTTTCAATTAATACGCGTTGCTTATTATACAACAAATCGTTGGCTTGCATTCCTTGCACACTTGAGCATGATGTAAGTTGTAGTAGTTATTTTGCTTTTTCTTTTCATAGGGGAATTGAAAGAATCGGATATAATCTTCCTTTTCTATCTTTTTTTTGATAGGTTTTTCATATGGAATTCGTTACTTATGGTTATTGGCTGTGTTTCAACGGTTCAAATGGCGATTGGATTTGGATTTGAAGTGATGAAAATTACGAATCCACGCAGTGATAATCAAACAGCACAAATTGCGGAAGAACCTCGAAGTCCAATTAATGAATTCATAAGAAACCGAAGAAAAGGATATCAAGAAATGGTCGATGGGTTATATGTTAAATATATGAATCGATTAGTTGGTGTCCAACAAGAACAAGCTGCCTATGTACAGCAACAGCATCATCATAATTACTATCATCCACAACCTCAATACATGTATGCACAGCATACACAGCAACAGAAATATTATTATCCGCCGACAGGGAATAATCAGGCAGTTGATGCATCAATGCAGGATGAATATGAATTAGGAGTTCCGGCTGAAGATGAAGAGGAAGAAATACCGACAAATGAACGAGAAGGGGGGGAGGAAGAATTTCAAATAGATTACATGAAAAATACGGATTTTGATAGTCATCATGTGCAGTATGAAAATTATAATGATAATAATAATGATAACGATAATAGAGAACTTAATTTTTCTGATTTTGTCAACACATCAACATCGTCAAATAATAATGTCTCGGCCTTTGAATCGGAACCAATTATCACACCGCAAAACATGGATTTTCATTCAGCATCCATAGAAGGTTGATTCTTCTATCCTCTCTAATACATACATATATATATATATATATATATATATATATATATATACTTTCAGATTTATATTAAGTCGTCGATATTTTTTTATTTAATTCGGATTTATGTAATTGTTTGTCAACATCAATAATAGATGAGTATAAAAAAAACCTAATCAACTCACATTGCATATTTTAAGTGATTTTCATAAATTTTATTCGATCCGTATTCAAATAAACAAAATTTACCATTATCACTGACTGAATGTCATTTTTACTTTCCTCAAGAAATTCATGCAATAAATTAATTATATTGAGCATCCAAGAGTCTTTGTGACGATAACATAACTCATCAAATAAAGGGGAAGAGGAAAAAAATGAAGATCAAAGTCTAATCTAACAGGTATTTCATCTATAGAAAAGTACATTCTAGATATATCTATATGATGATAATAATACACAACAATGCTATTACTGCTATTGCTCATAACTACAAATATGTAAAGAGAAAAAAAAAAAATAAAAAAGATGTTGGATTTTCCCGCCGCTTGATCGAGGTGCGTAGAAATAATTCAACAAGTTAAGCAATGAATATTAAATTGAAGAAGCAATACAATAAAATTCTCCCCTCTTCAATATGAGGTGCTTGTACTCGATTAATCAGTCTTAGCTATTGTGCTTTCTATTTCAGTATGAGCAGCGGGCGGCTTTAAAAACGTTAAAAGAATATTAGAAGTCAAAAACTAAAACAAGAGCATGATAAGCTTATATGGAGGACGTACCATCAATTGCTCACTTTGAACATGATAGTAGCGTTCGAGTGGAGCAAGATCAAGCATAGAAGTTTTCGTAAGGATGTTAATCATCGTTCCTTCACGACCATAGCCACCACAACAGATAGCACTATTTAATTGAATTTGAATTAATAAAAATATATACATATACATATCTATATACCATTAATTAGAAAGAACAAACGTCTGACTTACCGGTCATGATAAGGTTCTTTGCGTGGAGGTAAATCATAGTTAATCACGAATGGCGAAGGGCTAAAAGTGAGCGAAGAGGAATGAGTCCCGACAACTACAATTATTCCTTCGTTAGCATCAAAGAACTTGTTTAGAATCTCCCAACGCTGTTCATCAGGTGTATCATAATCCTTGATTATGGAAAAAAATTAAGTACTACATAAACGCCACAATGACAATAATGCTGATAGAGAAAAATGAATAATAACACGCACAATAGACCACAGCGGATAATCATGATACATATCGTGCAACTTATCAGCCAAAGAATTGACTGTATCGGAATTACGACAGAAAATGACGGCTTTTTCTATCTCGAGAGCTTCAATTGTTTCGCAGATTGCGCTCAACTTTTGCTCATCGTTATCAACGATCTTATAATAGAGATGTAAACCATCCTTGAATCCACTCTCGTCAAGAACTATCGCCGCATTTGGTGCCTCGCGATCTTTTAATTCGGCGAGAGTGTAAGTTGTTGCAGTGGTCATCAGAATTCTTTTAATTCGTGGGAAACTTCTCAAGATATCAAACGTCTTGTAGCCGTGTTGTCGTGAAAACATGAGACAACATTCCTCGATGACAATCGATTTTATGTGTCCGCCGAACCATTCACGTGTTCTTATCAAAGATAGTATTCTGCCTGTAATTTATTAATAATAATAATAATAATAATAATAATAATAATAATAATAATAATAATAATAATAATAATAGACATAAATAATTTATTTTATCCAACAATATTAAAATTATTTTATTTTACCTGGTGTGGCGATGATTATCTGTTTAGATCGATCTGCATTTGAAATGATGCTCAGATCCTCGTCAAGAGTAGTTTCCGGGGTACAAGTGACCACGCCCAATCGAAGGAATCGACCAACAGAATTCAATATTTCTGCGACAAAATGACCAATATCTTTGGTTGGAATGAGAACAATTGCTTGACAAAGAGGATCTTCAGGATCTATTTCTTGAAGCAATGCAATAACGAAACACATGACTCTTTGCTCAATGCAAGGGATTTGAATAATGACGTTTCTTCCAGAAAAGATGGCTGGAATAGCACGTTGTTGAATTGGTGATGGTTCGTTATACCTATTATTTTATCTCCATCATTTCAGTAGAGATATCAATAAATATATCTTAGAACATATTGAATCTTTTTACCATCCATGTTCACGAATGCCATCCAGCAATTGCTGCTTCAAATTCATGGCTTCAAAGGTCGGAACACTTTGACTCCAATTTTCTTGCAGCAAGATTCGATTATTCTTCATTCCTCCGGCATTCCTGTTCGCCTATAATTATAGGCGAATAAAAAAAAGTGGTTAACATTAAATAAAACATACAGACGAATTAAATCAAAAGATCGACGGTTAAATTTTACCTGAAATCGAAACCCACGACCTCCACTTCTTTGAAAGCCGCCACCTCGAAAGCCTCTGTTCATACCGCGTCCAAATCCTCTTGAGAAACCCCTGCCAACGCCACGACCAAATCCACGATTATTAAATCTTTGAACAACAGGACCAGACGTGGACGCGATTTCTTGTTGGAATTGTTGTTGCGTCTTTGTAGTCTTTCCTGCGTTCTTTTTCACGAGTTGATTTTGTTTTTGTGATTGTGCTTGAGCAATGTTGTTGTTAAGGACTGTTTGCTCGGATTCGGCTTGAATTGCTGCAGCCTTTTTCTTTTGGTTTTTTTTTTGCTTCTTTTTATTCTTGGTTTGTGTTTCTGCAGCAACTTGGGCAGGCGCTTCTGGAACATTAGGGCTGCTGGTTGACTCTTCAGCTTTCTTGGAAGAGATATCTTTATTTTGAGGAGCTGAATTATTGTCACCGACGGTAGTCGAGTTTTCATTAGTTTTTTCTATGGCGGACATTAAGGACGCGTCGTTGAGTTGAGGAAGAGCAACGTCTTTTTGTTGGTTAGTTGAATTGATGTTATTGTCTGTTACTACACCGTTATCAATAAATTGATAAGATGAAATAGAGGCGACCGTCTTAGAAAGTCTTGCGAATTTCTCTTGAAGTTCGGGAATCGCAGTTAAATTTGCCCTTATTTCGGGAAGAAGAGCTACGGCTTCTTTGAGCTCCGGTAGGATGGTTAAGGTCAATTTGATTTCTTTAATGGCGTCTACCAGTTTGGTTTCGTCGTTCACTTCAATTTCAGTCAATTTTGTTTCTTGCGTGACACCTTCTTCAATTGGAGTTGTCACAATTGGCTCCATGTTTTACTGCTTTGTTTTTTCGAGAGTAAACAAGGTGAAGAAATCGACTAGAGAGGTGAAGAATCTATCGTGCAAGTGGACACTAAAAACAATTTAAGGAATAATAGCTATTTTGAGTTTAGAGATAAATGTATCTGGAGCAGAAGGTTATACGGAAGAGAACAATGAATACAATCGAATAAGAAAAAAACCTAAAAATACGCGCAAAACCCTTAAATATAAGCATTTTTTAGGCGACTGTGACGTGTATGAAAAAAGCCAAGAGCACAGTTTTTTAAACTAGTATGGATGATATACGCTGATATACTGATGATGTTGGGTATACTTTACAAACGATGATTAACAAAAAGAAATTTATCATGGTTCCGTTTGAAGAGACGCGTAAAAAAGTCGATCAGTTTATTTGACAATCATTAATGCGTTAAGTTTTCTTGTGTTCATAAAATTGAATTTTTTGCGACGCTTAAATCACTTTCTAAAAAATAAATATCTTTAAATTAATTCAAAAATCAACGTTAATCAAATTGGATTTTTATCTCTCCTTCATATTTAAAACTTGATGTATAACGAATGGCTAACATGCATTTAAAATTTATTGTAAAATAATGTATTAAGCTTAACAAAAACCTATTTTAGTATTTGCCCACAAATAATTATTGATATTTAGAAACCAAAGTTAAAGTCACACTTTTTGCTATTTCCAAGAGTATGATCATATGAAGAGAAGACTGTACAAGTAAACTAGTATTTATGTTAAAGATATTAGTAGAAACACAATTATATGTAAAAGTGAACACTTTTTATTAAATAACTTCAAATCTGGAACTTGATTTAATATTAAGTTTAGAAAAAACTTTAAATAAGTTTAATCAGAGAGATTAGTTTAATTATCAAATAACTGAAACTAAAATTATTTCAAAATAGTTTAGATGAGTATTTTATAATATAAATTTTATAAACCATTCAGTATTTTAAATTATAAAAAACTTTCATTCTAAATATATAATTATAAAAAATATTATCAAATAACTCTTAACAAGCTTTTTAAAAAATATATGGATCAGTGCAAAAAGATTTGTATCTCAATATAAAAATTAATAATTATTTCTGATCAAAATTATTCAAATTTTAATCATTCTTTATAATTTTTATATATTAAATAAAAAATAATCTTTTTATACTATTTTAACTATTTTATTATATTTTAATTCAATAATAAATAAAAGATTATTTTACTAAAAAAAGAATTAAATAAAATTATTTTTAAAATAATATTTTAAATATTATCATTATCAATATATAATATTAAAACTTCAAATTATGCAAGCAGATTGTCTTAGATTTGATAAATATATATTCTAAATTTCATAAAAATTAAATTAGTAATTATAAAGATATTAAGATTTAAAGTTAAGTAATTAAATTATTTATTATATAATTTTTATATAATAAAATTTAAGAAATAATAATTAAAAAAAGTTATTATTAGTAAAAAGTTATTATTAGTAAAAATTTTTTTATAAAAGATATATAATAAAAATTTTTATATTTAAATAAATTTTAATAATTAATAACTTAATTAAATAAGATAAAATTAAAATTTTAATTTTATTTTAAAAAAATAATTTATTAATATTTATTTGAAATATTAATTTTTTTATATTAACTAAAAATAATTTCTTAACTAATTGTAATTTGTAATAATTATTTAAAAAATTATAATTTAATTATAATTAATTATGATAATTAATCAAAA